GCCCTACGTGATCACCAAAGACGTGCTGTACGCTGATGACACGCTGTTGGTCTCGCAGTGCCGGGACTCTCTCCAAAGGCATTTCCACATAGTATCACATATTGGAAAATCATTGGGATTGGACCTCACCGCAGGCAAGACGATTTAATTGAGAATCAGATCGGACGACACAGTGGTGGGGCCCAATGGAGAACCAATTCAAACAAAAGACAGCGTCGTTTATCTTGGGGGTCTTTTGAGCGCAGACGGCAAGCCAACAGCTGAAGTAACGCGGAGTCTCGGGGAGGCGAAAAGGGCATTTGATAAGCTTTGCGCCGTATGGAGCCACGCGAATAGGACGAAGCAGTATAAGCTACGAGTTCTTCAAGCATGTGTGTTCTCGAAATTGTTGTATGGGTTGGAATCTTCTGTGCTGCTGAAGGTCAACCATGACAGACTAGACGGTTTTCAAGCCAAGCGTATTCGCAAAATATGGAAAATCCAGCCGGCTTTCCTGTCCCGAATCAGCAATGCACGCGTGCGCTCTGAAGCGCACGTCCGTCCATTATCATCTCTTCTATTGGAGCGACAACTGAAGCACTATGGGAAATTAGCCAGAGCTCCCCCGTAGTCGCTTCCGAGAGCGATGGCTTTCCAGTCATGCCGGAATCTTTTGATGCCGCGAGACTGGCGCTCCCCGAAAAATCGAAGGAGGCCGCGTTTGCAATGGACTGCGTATATGCACGCCCGCGCGATGGGTGTTGCAGGAGATGACCCGGACCGCCTGCAAGTCTTGTTACAATCCCCTCAAAGTAGTTGGGACGCAGCTGTCAATGAATACCGTAACTCTTTAGTGTGACGTTGTCGTGTTTCTCCCCCCTCTCTCCCCTCTCCCCGCCCTCCTCCCTCCCTCCCTCCTGCTCGCCCCCTCCTGCACGCGAGCGTTGCTGATCACCCTCGCGCGCCACTTGCACAAAGGCTGCCCGTGGTCGAGCTCCGAGGCACGGTAGCCGCTCCCAGACATGTGTATGTAGTTTTTCTTTTGCCGATGCGCCGTCCAGGCGCGGCTCTTGAGTGACTCAAACGTTTCGTGGTCCCACAAGAAGCTCTACCGAAGGCCCCAGCGGCAGGGCTCGCATGGCGTCCGCGCACTGGATCTGGCAAACCCCTCACACGTTTCGTGGCCCCATCGGGGACTCCACCTAAGGCCCCAGCGGCAGGGCTCGCGTGCGGTACCCGCCCCCCTGTCGGCACACCCCTCACACGCTTCGGGACCCCATAGGGAGCTCCCGTAGATCGACAAAATATGGAAGCCTTGACTCCGCCTCCCCCCACCCAAGATTCAAAGCTGGTCCCAGACATTCGGCAGCGCAGGCGTGAGGGGACAAAAAGTGTACCCCCAGGGCCTCAGCGAGGCCCGACCGAACTTTGAATCTGGGGGATGGGGTGGGGGCGAACATGGGGCCGAACCCGAAGGGGTTCGACCCTTGTCCCCTTGCCGTCTCCTTCCTTCGTCCCACCCGCCTTGCGGTACACACGCCTTCATATGGCGGGGCCCTTCGCCAGGACATGCTTTGGGGGGTGAAGGGCCCAGGCCCCCAACCCTGTCGGGACTTCTGGGAGCTCACGCGGCTCCTTGAGACTGCTCCTCCTCCTCCTCCTCCTCTCCTCCTCCTCCTTCCTGCCTCCGTTCCCCTTCGCCTGCTCAAGACCAGCCCAAAGGCTCAGCCGAGCGCCCTCTGTGTGCTATTCTCGAGAACGCCCTGGACTGGCCCCGCCCCGGCCCCCCTCCTCCCCCCCCCCTGGCTCGGGCGACGAAATCCAGACATATCCACTGATCCCTGGCCAGGCCCATCCTGAACCCAGGAGCTGTGTGCACGCCCTTGCGTCCTACGGTCGGTAGCTTTTGTTTACAGTGTCGCGGCGGCGGCCCCTGCGGCACGCCGTGCTTTGCAAGGTGACGACGTGTTGCTCTGCTTCGCGGGAGGGGAGGCCGGGGAAAGCTCAGAACGTTGATGCTTGGGGACTGAGACGTGCTGAGCGGTTCGTGCTGAAACGTGGTGGGCAAGAGCCAGCCCCACGACGCGCTAGGCTACGTGTTCGACCATGGACTCCTTGTTGCCCACCAGCCCTGGGCGGTCTTCGGCGGTCTTCTGGAGGTTTTCGGGGGTCTTGCTCGGTCTTCTTACGGTCATCGGCGGTCCTCTGGCGGTTTTCGACGGCTTCCAGCGGTCTTCGGCGCGAGGGCTGGATGGTTGTGTTCAACAAGGGGTCCATAATCGAACACCTTATGCTAGGCAAGCCCTGACCGCAAGATGTACTGGTCCCCCCAGAAGAGTTCTAAGATTGCCCCGAAGACCCGTCCTGGGGCCCTCGCCAAGGCCTCACGGGCAGTCTTGGGGGCACGAGAGGCAAAATCTTCAGCACTTAGCCGCCCCGGTAAGCAAATCGCAACCCGTAGCGTGTTGACACGGAGTTCAACACGAAGATTGAAAACGTACATTTGACACGATACGTTCGCCAACACGTGGGCCAGCACGTTGAACCAACACGCAACGTGTTAACACGGACGTTTTGAAGTCGGCACGTGTTGCGTTTCAAAACGGGTGTATCCGGGCAGCTTAGCTTCAGAAGCGTAATGACATGTACGGATGATTTCTCAGACTTGCCTCTCTGTCGCCAGAGCGTCCAAGACGGCCCAAGGGCCACCAAATATCGGCCCAGGACGGCTCCAAGAGCGGCTCAAAGGGGGGAAATCGCACAGGTACTTGAAGACCTCCAACCCAAGATGTTCTCCCAAACCGCCAGCAAGGCCCCCAGGAGGCGCCCCAGAGGTCCCAGGAAGCCCCAGCGAAACCACCAAAAGACGCCGAAGAGGCCCCTGAAATGCCATGCAAGCGGGCCCCAAAAACTCCACAAGAGGCTGTAAGGGGACGATCGTCTACGACCCAGGCACGGTGGCGAGATGGGCGGAAGGCCACGCGATAATAACGCGTGCTTCAGTCCTGTTGCCAGTCTCGAAGAAGTACCCTGGCCAACGACATCACCAACAAGCTGGTATTGGTCGATGTCACTTTGACGTCGGCCTTCTCCACGTCGGGAGCTATCACGATGCCGTGGCTTCTGCGAGGGTGCAATTTGCATTCCGCGAATGCGCCCCTGATTTTGCTGGAGTCAACGCTGCCCTCCCAAAACCTGTTGTTGCTTACCACATGTGGTACTGCCTCCGTTGGCCTTTGCAACATCGGCCTTCCGATCGGCGCTCACCTAGGTCCTTCATGTGGCAGCTAAACCATGAAATCCGAACGTAGAGCGACGGTGAGATCTCAACTTCGAGGGGAACCGATGCCCAACAGTGTTCATGCCAATGTCATTGCAGGACCTGCGCTTATTGAATACGACTCTCCGAGCGATGACTATGTAGTCTGTCGTGGTTGACCACCGCTGCAGGGGACACTATTTTCATAACCAGCCACACTGTTCGAACCCGTGTGCGAAACAAGCGGGTGCAAACGGAGCAGGGGCCGCACCTGGCACAATTGAATTTTGATGGCGTAGCCCTGGCGATGCACCCTGATAGGAAGGAGAAAGAGAGGGAAGGAGCTCTAGGATGGACGGGGGAGTAGGAGAAGGAAGGTGGACGAAGGAAGAGGAGGGGAAGAGCAGGGAGTGGGAAAGACACGAGAGCAGCAGGAGGAGAAGGGGCGGGAGCGGCAGCGGGAACATGAGCCTCCTGAACTCCGGTTGGGTCCACGGCAGCTCAAATCGGACCCGAAGTGAGGGAGAGAGAGAGAGAAAACCATATATATATATATATATATATATACATATATATATAAACATATATACATATATATAGAGAGAGAGTGAAAAAGAGAGATGAAGGGGGCGATGGCACGAGAAGCTTGGATTGCCTCTTTGCCTTGCCGAGTGCCGAGCCCGGATCGGCTGCAAGGCTCGTGTTCGTGCTGGGGAGGGTGGTCTGGGTCCTCCGACTTCTCCGCCTCCCCCGTCGGCACGAAACAATCCCCCACAGACGGAGATTGCCGCGACCCCTTGTCGAGGCGAATCTGCGCTCGGCAAGGCGGCAACTTTCGCCTTCGCAGCTCCGTAACCAGCTTTCCTCCCCCTCCTCGTCATCCTCCTTCTCATTTTGCTCCTCCTCCTCTCCTTCTTCTTCTTCTTCTTCTTCCTCCTCCTCCTCCTCCTCCTCCTCCTCCTCCTCCTCCTCCCCCTCGTTCTCCTCCTTCTGTTACCTTATGACTAACTCCTAGCTGTCGCACCCCCAGTCGTGTTGGTAGGGCGGGCAGGGCGTTTCGCCTGCGCTGTCCCACCATTTATGATCCTGAAGGTTGAAAACTGCAACAGTTTCTCGGATTGCGGGCGGGCCGTTTCCAATGTATGGCTCTCGCCTGAGCGCCGCGCAAATTCGTTCTCCAAGCATCCAACAGTTTCAAGGATGGAGGTCGGGCTGTTTCCAAGCTGTGGCTCTCGCCGTGGCACCGTGCACATTCGTCGCAAAAGCTTGCAACAGCTTCAAGGGTGGAAACAACATGTGGTTTTCGCCGTGGTGCCGCGCGCATTCGTCTGTAAAGTTCCCAACCATTTCTAGGATTCGTATGGGTGAAGTGCCAGGGTTGGTTTTCTGGTACCGTTTAGGACTGTCAAGACGCGATAGTCACGTTGACCCGTGGAGTTGAAGTTCCAAGAGTGGTGTTCTAGCCCGATTTGGGAGAGTCAGGAAGCAACAGTCACATTGATCCATGGCATTGATGTCCCAAGATCGTGTTCTGGCACGATTGAAGGTTTTCAGACGGTTGTCCTCTAATGGGCCACTTTGCGCAATGATCATACATTCTTGTTGGGACCTATACAGACCTCCTCCTCCTCCCCCTCCTCCTCCTCCTCCTCATCATCATCATCATCATCCTTCTTCTACTCCTCCTCCTCCTCCTCCAGCTCCCTCCTCGCCTCCTTCTTCTCAGGGAGGCGGCAGCAGGGAGGAGGCGGGGGGGCAGCACCTGCTCCGGCGACGGCGGCTCTGTCGGGCCGCTGGACAGCATCACGACGGACCCGAACACGAGAGTGGCCACGCCGCCTGGAGGCGGCGGCAGGATAAGAGGTCTGGGGCTGCTGCTGCGGCTCGCTCGCCATCCCCGCCCAGCCTCATCTTCACGCAGCAGCCCTCGTCCTCGTCCCGAGAAGGCCGAGGGGGGAGAGGCAGCGGGCAATCCTCCATGGACGGACGAAGATTGCCCCTCCATCTTCACGCGACAAAGCTCGCCCCTCCGCTCGCCCCTGGCCGCGTCTTCATTCGGCAATCCTCGTCCTCGTCCCGACATGCTCCTCATCATCATTCCCTCTCGCCGCCAGGGCTGCCCCGGCCCGAGCTTCCCGAGAGAGAGACGAGAGCTGCGGTTTACTTTCCCTGCGGTCTCTGATGTGATTCCTCCAATGCGACTATGACGAGAACCGAGCGTCTCAGACCCCCGACGTCATGATTTCTTCATGGCGTCGGCCCCACGAGGTCGCGACCCATTCCCCAAGAACGGCTCCTTGTCCCGAGTAATTGTTAGACGGTCCCGAGGCCCAGTCAGAGCCCCCCGAAGCTGAAAATAGTGGAAAACCTGCCGTCGTGTCGCTTTGTCTCCTGACTCGAGAGGGTCATGGGGTTGCACACTGTTCGATCCCGCTGCTGCTCTTCCCTCCCTCCCTCCCTCCCTCCGCAGTGCTCCTGGCGCCGATCCCTTTTCCCGCCCAGTTCCTAATCTCCCGGGGGCCTTGGAGCCCAGCCGCGCCTGGGGAGAGGAGGGACGAGCGAGCAAGGGGGGGTGCAGCGCCCACTGAGAGGGAGGAGGGAAGGGGGGGGCAAGCTAGGTGTGCTCGCGTCATATCTGACATCCTACCCTCCCTCCCATCCCTTACCATGGCGCAGATCCCCTCTCTACTCGCACAGTCGGATGTCGAGCAGGGCAATCATCCCGAAAGGGTACGCGATGCATTGTAGAGCACGGCGTGGCATGGCGTAGAAGAGCACCGCGAAGCGTGGTATCAACCTCGCATTGCATTGCATGCCGTGGCATGGCACGGGAAATGACGCCAGCGCCGCAGCGGGAGCACGAGTCGAAACGAGCGGAAGCGCGGAAATGAGGCCAACGTTGCAGCGGGAGCACGATTCGGAACGAGCGGAAGCACGCCGGAATCGGCCCGGGAGGCTTCCTGGGCGCCAGAAGCAGAAATTCAGCTTTTTCAAAACAAACATGTGTATTGGAATGACCTTTTTTCGGCGCCGCCTCGGAACTCCATTTTCCGGCGCCGGCCGGAACCGGCTCCGGACCCGGCCCGGGCGCCGGCCCGGGCGCCGGCTCGGGCGCCCGGCCCGGGCGCCGGCTCGGGCGCCGGCCCGGGCGTCGGAATCGGCCCGGGAGGCCTCCCGGGCGCTGGAAGCAGAAATTCAGCACTTCAAAAGAGAAATGTGTATTAGAATGGCCTTTTTTCGGCGCCGCCTCGGAGCTCCATTTTCCGGCCCGGCTCCGGACCCGGGCGCCGGCTCGGGCGTGCAGCCTGGGCGCCGGCGGAAATGATGCCAGCGCTGCAGCGGGAGCACGATTCGGAACGAGCGGGGCCCGAAAATGAAGCCAGCGCTGCAGCGAGAGCAGCATTTTGGAAAAATGCAAGCGAAAACCCAACTCTGGGGAAACCTGTGTGTAAATTACGCCACCGAGGAACCCCACATAATCAATTTAACTCTTATGTGCTTGTTTAAGTTTAGAATGTATGCGCAATTCTGCGTTCTCAGCCCTCGTCGCGAATGTTCCCCTCTGTGTCATCCAACGCCGTATTGCTTGAACCTCCTCCCTCTTCCTAGCCTTCTATCCTCAGGACAGATTCCAGCCAGCCAGCGGCCGCGCTCAGGGACCACCCCCTGCGCACCCCTATGGTGTCTAGAAAGTGCCACGCCTGCTATGCCTGGACGACTGGCACGGATAGCGGCCGCGCCCAGGGACCACCCCCTGTGCACCCCCTATGGTGTCGAGAAAGTGCCACGCCTGCAGCTATGCCTGGACGACTGGCACGGATAGCGGCCGCGCTCAGGGACCACCCCCTGTGCACCCCCTATGGTGTCGAGAAAGTGCCACGCCTGCTATGCCTGGACGACTGGCACGGATAGCGGCCGCGCTCAGGGACCACCCCCTGCGCACCCCCTATGGTGTCGAGAAAGTGCCACGCCTGCTATGCCTGGACGACTGGCACGGATAGCGGCCGCGCTCAGGGACCACCCCCTGCGCACCCCCTATGGTGTCGAGAAAGTGCCACGCCTGCTATGCCTGGACGACTGGCACGGATAGCGGCCGCGCTCGGGGGCCACCCCCTGCGCACCCCCTATGTGTCGAGAAAGTGCCACGCCTGCTATGCCTGGACGACTGGCACGGATAGCGGCCGCGCTCAGGGACCACCCCCTGCGCACCCCCTATGGTGTCGAGAAAGTGCCACGCCTGCTATGCCTGGACGACTGGCACGGATAGCGGCCGCGCTCAGGGACCACCCCCTGCGCACCCCCTATGGTGTCGAGAAAGTGCCACGCCTGCTATGCCTGGACGACTGGCACGGATAGCGGCCGCGCTCAGGGACCACCCCCTGCGCACCCCCTATGGTGTCGAGAAAGTGCCACGCCTGCTATGCCTGGACGACTGGCACGGATAGCGGCCGCGCTCAGGGACCACCCCCTGCGCACCCCCTATGGTGTCGAGAAAGTGCCACGCCTGCTATGCCTGGACGACTGGCACGGATAGCGGCCGCGCTCAGGGACCACCCCCTGCGCACCCCCTATGGTGTCGAGAAAGTGCCACGCCTGCTATGCCTGGACGACTCAGGGACACGCGCATAGAAAGTGCCACGGCCGGACGACTCAGGCGGCCGCGCTCAGGGACCACCCCCTGCGCACCCCCTATGGTGTCGAAATGCCACGCCTGCTATGCTACGACTGGCATCAGGGACCACCCCCTGCGCACCCCCTTGCGAGAAGTGCCACGCCTGCTATGCCTGGACGACTGGCACGGATAGCGGCCGCGCTCAGGGACCACCCCCTGCGCACCCCCTATGGTGTCGAGAAAGTGCCACGCCTGCTATGCCTGGACGACTGGCACGGATAGCGGCCGCGCTCAGGGACCACCCCCTGCGCACCCCCTATGGTGTCGAGAAAGTGCCACGCCTGCTATGCCTGGACGACTGGCACGGATAGCGGCCGCGCTCAGGGACCACCCCCTGCGCACCCCCTGTGGTGTCGAGAAAGTGCCACGCCTGCTATGCCTGGACGACTGGCACGGATAGCGGCCGCGCTCAGGGACCACCCCCTGCGCACCCCCTATGGTGTCGAGAAAGTGCCACGCCTGCTATGCCTGGACGACTGGCACGGATAGCGGCCGCGCTCAGGGACCACCCCCTGCGCACCCCCTATGGTGTCGAGAAAGTGCCACGCCTGCTATGCCTGGACGACTGGCACGGATAGCGGCCGCGCTCAGGGACCACCCCCTGCGCACCCCCTATGGTGTCGAGAAAGTGCCACGCCTGCTATGCCTGACGACTGGACGGATAGCCCGCGCTCAGGGACACCCCCTGCGCAGCGGTCGAGAAAGTGCCCACGCCGCTATGCCTGGACGACTGGCACGGATAGCGGCCGCGCTCAGACCACCCCCTGCGCACCCCCTATGGTGTCTAGAAAGTGCCACGCCTGCCATGCCTGACGACTGGCAGGATGCGGCCGCGCTCAGGGACCACCCCCTGCGCACCCCCTATGGTGTCGAGAAAGTGCCACGCCGCTATGCCTGCGACTGGCACGATAGCGCCGCGCTCAGGGACCACCCCTGCTATGGTGTCGAGAAAGCCTGCCCTGCGGCCATGCTGGAGGCGACGACACGGATAGCGGCCGCTGCCACCCCCTGCGCACCCCCTAGCGGCCGCTGCTCAGAAAGTGCCACGCGCACCCCCTGCTATGCCTGGACGACTGGCACGGATAGGATAGCGGCCGCGCTCAGGGACCACCCCCTGCGCACCCCCTATGGTGTCGAGAAAGTGCCACGCCTGCTATGCCTGGACGACTGGCACGGATAGCGGCCGCGCTCAGGGACCACCCCCTGCGCACCCCCTATGGTGTCGAGAAAGTGCCACGCCTGCTATGCCTGGACGACTGGCACGGATAGCGGCCGCGCTCAGGGACCACCCCCTGCGCACCCCCTATGGTCGAGAAAGTGCCACGCCTGCTATGCCTGGACGACTGGCACGGATAGCGGCCGCGCTCACGGGACCACGCGCATGCCTAGAAAGTGCCACGCCTGCTATGCCTGGACGGCTGGCACGGATAGCGGCCGCGCTCGAGTGGCCTGCTATGCCTGGACCTGGCACGGATAGCGGCCGCGCTCAGGGACCACCCCTTGGGTCGAGAAAGGCCACGCCGCCTCCTGGTGTCACGATAGTCAGGACCACCCCCTGCGCACCCCCTATGGTGTCGAGAAAGTACCACGCCTGCTATGCCAGGACGACTGGCACGGATAGCGGCCGCGCTCAGGGACCACCCCCTGCGCACCCCCTATGGTGTCGAGAAAGTGCCACGCCTGCTATGCCTGGACGACTGGCACGGATAGCGGCCGCGCTCAGGGACCACCCCCTGCGCACCCCCTATGGTGTCGAGAAAGTGCCACGCCTGCTATGCCTGGACGACTGGCACGGATAGCGGCCGCGCTCAGGGACCACCCCCTGCGCACCCCCTATGGTGTCGAGAAAGTGCCACGCCTGCTATGCCTGGACGACTGGCACGGATAGCGGCCGCGCTCAGGGACCCCCCTGCGCACCCCCTGCGCACCTGGGCGACTGGCACGGATAGCGGCCGCGCTCAGGGACCACCCCCTGCGCACCCCCTATGGTGTCGAGAAAGTGCCACGCCTGCTATGCCTGGACGACTGGCACGGATAGCGGCCGCGCTCAGGGACCACCCCCTGCGCACCCCCTATGGTGTCGAGAAAGTGCCACGCCTGCTATGCCTGGACGACTGGCACGGATAGCGGCCGCGCTCAGGGACCACCCCCTGCGCACCCCCTATGG